ACATTTCTTCCACTCCCAAACCTTACCTTGTCTTTGACAGTTCTTGCCGCACCTCCAAACAAGATGTTCCCACAATGCATCATGATCTGCCTAACCCAGATGAACATATCTTTAAATCCAATTTATGTCACATGTGTTGATTTACCCGCTTGTTTGGCGGGATTGCCTGATACATAGGTGTTGACGGTGAGGGCTTATCAAGGTCAAAAAGTGATATCGATTGCATTCGATCGATGATGTCTCAAGGACAGCCTTGTATGGGCTCGTTCAAGGAGAATGAAAGACGGAAATAAATGGTCCACCTTCGAAAGGTACTCGGATTCCATAACAAATATCTGCCATCGCCATGATCGCTGAATAAAAGAGAAAAGAGACAAAGGTAGATTGATTCAGGTTCATTATCCCCGAAGCTTTAGGAAACATGGTTTTCTTTGTAATATTCGATCCCTGTTAGAAATGTCTAGAAGGTTGGCTCAAGATTTGTCAAGGACGAAGTGAAACCTGCACGTCTTAGCAAAAGGAAAACTGATGTTCAAAAATTTTCATCAAATTAAATTGGAATTTTTATTTTAGAACGTGAAAAACAAATCGCAAAAGTTGTTTAAGATCGTATTTAGATGCGTTGTACACATCAGAACATTTTCTGAAGTCCTTATTTTACAAATTTGAAATCACAATACATGTAGTAAATTCCGATTGGGCATCTTAAAATATAATTAAAAAGCCGCACAAGTATGCTGGCATTAATCCATGATATACTCATGACTGTTTGATTTGTTTGTCTCTATTTATCATAGATATATCCGCCGACTCATGTTTAATGTTAAAATCGGAAGATGAATAATAATACCACAATGTAAGGTGTTGAAGTACTTTGGATAGGCAGATGGATTTCCACGACAAATGGAAAACCATACGCAGCTCAATAATACAAATATACTTTGAAATTTGGAGAGGGGGTCTATTCAGCCAAATGTATATTTTGAATGCCAACGGATAACGCCTGAGGGGGGTATCCAATATATAGACCTGCTACGGGAAAAACACAGCTGTTTGACGAGCATGCCGAGTGACTTATTATTTACTTTATCTATACTTTACTTTAGTTCGAGATTCCTTGGTTGCTATGGTGATACCGTGTAATACAAATCGTCCGTCATGTGTCGTTGTTGAGTTAGGTAGCGTGACAGCTTTTCACTTCAAGGCGAGGAACTTTACCTAATGGTGATTCCTATTTTTGTATCCATTCATAATGTTAACCATGAAAAGAAGGCATGTTAGCATAATAAACATTACAGCCTTACCCGAATGCAAAGGCTATTTTTCTTTTGGTTGTAACGATTGTCTCCCCAGGCTTCGTGTTCCGTTCAATAAAATGCTCTCGTAAATATGAAATCGAATATCAAATTGAAGAAAGAATGATGACCATACCTGCCATATATTTACCTCTCTCTCTCTCTCTCTTTCTTTCTCTCTCTCCCTCTCGGTCATTAGCTCAAATCATACATGTGAAGAGTTTTATTCCTGAAGGGACTAAATCCACTCTTAATTTATCTTTTTCGAGTAAATCCAAACAAAAGGAAATACCATATTACCTTGTCGGTTATCACTTGTTTTGGTACGTGACAATTTTTTTTTGGATTAATTTTAAAAATCAAAAATTAAGAAACGAATTTACCTTTTAGGTTTTGCTCATAATTTGTTTTTTTTCTTCACAATAATGATCCAAATTTAATGCGAAACACATTATAATATTGCTTTAATATCATATTTCATCCTCTTTTTTTCGATTTTTATCGTTCATTTAAAAAAAATTAAGTATGCAAATCACTTTTCCTCTAAATTTCACACTTTCGGATATTTCTTTTCAAAATGAGTTTTAAAGGCATATTTTTGATATCCTCTCCCTCTCTCAGTCTATACTTTCATATTTATGCTTTCATCACGTGTTACAATAGTTATAATGATAATAAAACTAATAATAATAGATGTCTAAATAGTGCACATATCAACCAGGTGAGGTGCTCAATGCGCTCAAATATTTCCCGGCTCTGCTAGGCTACCGTACCAGTCCTCATAGCATTCAATGAATTCCTTCCTGCCGGTACACATTTAACACATTGGTGAAGAGTGGCAAATGTAGATAAAAATTATTGCCAAAGGATATTAATGCCTCGGTGCGACTCGAACCGCGAAACGACGTATTAACTATACCACGAAACATATACACTACATGTTGAATATAATCATAAATCATCATTCTCCTGAATCCTGTGATGTCTTCCAATCATTAGGAATTGTCAAGTGATGAGCCTCACTTAAGATGTCGGCAGGTCCTTAAGTACCATTCTGGTGCGCCACAAAGCGGTCATCAAATTTCCCTTAAGGTGTGTCTCACTAAAGTGCCCCTGTGTCAAGGGTTTTCCATCCATGCCTATAAAACAGAATGCTACCAGTGTACTAAATCAGGAAGAAAAGAAGCCGTTCGAAAACATTGCCCCCCCCCCCCCAAAAAAAAAAAAAAAAAAAAAAAAAAAAAATTACAAGCAAATACAGACTCTTTTTGTGTACGTTTTAGGTAAGCTTTTACAATATTTTTTAAAATGTTACCGATAGACGTGCATTTTCCTTTTTCCCCGATTATTATATAAATATAAATCAACCTCTTTTGTTGGTATGTTTAACCGCTCCTACCAAGAAAAAATATACAGAAAAGGCTGTTTATGCTGTCGAGTGATATGTCCTGAAAAATTGAAAGTGTTACAACAAAAATAAATACAAATAGAATAGGAAATGTGTCTCGTATTATGCTGTGCCGAAATTTACTTCTTTTTAATTTTGTCCTTCTCCAATCATGTTACGGTGTCGTTTTTGCAGAAACATATTATTTCCATATCTACATATGAATGTTAGTTAGGCCCTTTAAGAGCCACATTAACGAAATTGGTCCATCCATCCTCTGGATTGCCACAGCTCTCTGCATGAGTCCTTTTATTATAAACCCTATTCATCTACCCTTTCATGTCGAGATACCACCTGGGATACTTCAGCGCGTCCATGCGACGTTTTAATTTATTTGTTATAGCCAGACTTTATCAAGGCATAGATGTATTGGTCGTATAACAAGCTCGCCTCTACCCTCTACCGTGGACCTACAACCTTACGAATGGTCATACGCAATGAGGGTCGTACGACACGAGCTCCTATGACGATTGCTCCACAGTAATCTCCGACGTCAACGGAATTCTTAATTTAAACCCTGGACTCCTCACTTAACCTAACCCTAACCATAATTATATAGTTTTTTTTTTAATGAAATTAAGCCCGGGGCAAATGGCGTAACTTCGCGACGAGACCTTACGACGAACACGACCGCAATTAATTTCGATAGCCATGAAGTGCCGCGCATTGCAATGCTACGGTACGTTATCCGAACATTATCGATGCAGGAAAAAGGATAAGGTATTGAAAATGCCCTTGAATTGATTTCTAGAAAGTCTTCGCAATTGTGCTTGGAATACTTCACACGGGAAATGTCACTATACTTTGTTGTCGGCACAATATTGTAATTCACGTCGTTTCTCTTATGCAACATACCAGTTTCATATAAATAGGATTTACGATTTCAATCCGGAGTAACAAAATATTGTCGAATGGATGCACTCTTAGAGTAGAGCATAGGTTTGACATCTCGAAGCAGATGAGCTTGTATTCATACAGGTGGTATTAAGGAGACATGACATGACATAATGTTTCTATAATTGGAACGTTTTTTCCCAATATGACCCCCAGGTTGTTTGTGTGCTAGTTCATTTGAAAGACAACAAGTGAACTGCATTATATAAAGATATGGCTCAGTTCCATGTAATACCTCGGTCACACCTACAAGAACGATACCTAACCAACAACATACGGATCAAACATTACATTACTTCGAATGTTTGAGTCGGTTAGGAATTGGTCTACAAGAGTTACTGAGGTACAAAGATATATGGATTTAATCGAGTCAGATGAATTCTGACGCAACAGACTGAGACGGCAAGATATTGTCGAATATACAAATACGTTTTCATTATTATCATGTAAGTAGGGTATATTTACTTGTATATAATATTACGGTATAATTTGTAGTATGATACTTTAAAAGAATTGGAACTTTACTGTCGTCGCGTATTACACTTTCGTCATGTAAAGTTCATTTGATCAAATTCCCAATCTTGTTTTCTTGGATAAAAGAGGAACTCGTGCGAGAATCATTTTCCAATTTCTCATGCATTTCCGCTCGTTAGATGTCCAATGGCATGCACTTTCCCCAAGACGTATTATGTTCGCATTATTAGCTGAAACCTTATCATTCGGGAACATCATACATTGTCATGCCCATACTGTATCTGGGTCAAAATATTTCTCAGTGCGGTAATCCTCCGAAACCGACGTTAGAGCTCCACAATTTTATCCCGGGTCGCCCTCGGAGTATTATTTTCCATACAGAATCAATCACATGAAACGCAAAGTGACAGGTTGCTTTGGATATACCGGTGGTTTTGATTGATGTTAGTTTCTCAGCATGTAAAGTTCCTTGGTGGTATTCGTATCCAGCGAACACAATCCGTTACCGGGACGCAAGTAAAGGACGTAGAAGCGTTTGTACGTTTTCAAGAAGTTTTGCGAATGTAATGAGAGTGATGTGGGTCTGATTTGTACAGTCAGAATACAGGCTATACAGTTGACCGTAGGTCTGCGAGACTGAATCTCCACGAGACCGAAATTCAAGACACCGAAAGTCCGCGAAACTTAAATCGGTCTCATGAACAATCAGTCTCGTGAAGCTTCCAACAGGCGACAAGATGGTTACAAGAGGCTGGATTTGTTTTTCCTGAGCCTTCGACCCATGGCCTTTGATTTGAAAAGTCGCAGTGATATACATATCAAATCTTCTCACAGTTTGTCACAATGGCATTATGATTATATTTTTTGTTTCTGTTTCATTTTGCAGATCACTCAAACGTTAACTTTGAGATAGAGACGACATGGAAACGTCTACAGCTCAACTGGATTTCACATAAAACTACCAATTCTAGGAAACTTCAAAATGTACGGGTTATTGATCGAAAGTGTGTGCGAGTTCATCAAGGAGAAATTCGGTGAGAATTCATGGCTACAGATCAGAGACAAGTCAAGGGTGCACGAGTACACCTTCGTTACACACCGGATGTACAGCGAAAAGATCATCCCTCGGCTTGCCCAGGCGGTCTACGATGTTACAGGGTACAGCAGAGAACAGTTCATGGACGAGACTGGTGTCCAGTTTGTCAAGTTCCTCAACAAGTACGAGTATGACAAAATGCTGCGAGTACTTGGTAGGAGTCTTGGAGACTTCCTCAATGGTCTTGACAACCTGCACGAGTACCTGCGCTTCAGCTACCCCAAGATGAAGCCTCCCAGCTTCTTCTGCACAGATGAGAGCCTCAAAGGCCTCACCTTGCATTACAGATCGAGGCGTAAAGGATACACCCATTACGTCAAAGGCCAACTGCGCCAGGTGGCCAAACAGTTCTACAACCAGGAGGTTTCTGTGATTATAGTCGAGGAGAAGCAGTCTTCAAAGGACACCTACTACGTGAAATTTAGGATAAACTTTGATAACAAGGAGTACACGGAGAAGACGCGGATTTCAAGTGTAATGATGAACGGACATGCTCAACTGAGGGCAAACTTATTCTTTGACGTCTTTCCCTTTCATATTGTCTTTGGCAACGACATGAAAATAAGAAATTCAGGTAAGTCTAGTATATTCCTCTTCAAATTAATGAACACTGTATTTTATTTCAAATTCGTTCATATCGACAGCAGTATTAAAGTACCACTTATACAGGTCTAGGAAATTGTGGGAATTGCTATCCGTTTTGCCCATTTCTAAACATGTATGTCAATTGTTTCTAAGTGTGTGTGTGCGGGGTGCGTGTGTGTTGTATAGGTGAGTAGCGCTTGCAATACTTATCGATGGCTTCAATAAGGTATTTTTGACTTCATTAAACAATCTGCATAACATTTTAACCCACTAGACACTGACGAAAAGAACAAGATTTATGTTATAACTGTCAGTATGAACTAGTTGACAAGAATTGTGAAAATTTGTCATGATGTTGATGTTATAGTTCTCTTTGAAAACAATCTCTCTTAAAACTATGTAAACACAATCGCAATGACATTTACCTTTTGGTTCAAACGACAGTATTTGTCTTCAAATTACTTCACAATATCAGAATACAATGCTAAACTGGGCATCCGGTGACATATCGCGACTTCATTAATCCAATAATGCGTACAATTTCTTGAATTAGAGGGGATGGGCATTCAGGAGGCCTGTTCATAATTAACTCATCGGACTCCGGATTCTTTGCTAATTGACGATCAAGGGCGATTGACAATGTCGTACTTCCAGAAGGTAATCGAATTTATTGCAATGAATTGGGAATGATTGGAACGGGGAAGATAGGCTCCCTCTGTCCACTTATTGTAGATGGTGTTTAAAGATGAAATTGAGTTATGGCCATCCGATAACTGAGCAGTGAGAAAGAAACTGTCTGAAAACAGGTGGGAACGGTTGATTATGAAGGACATCAGGGCCCCATCTTATAAAAAGTGGCGATTGATCAGAATTAATCGCAAGACCTCTAATCAATCGCAAGTTTGAAGTCCCCCATCTATCATGTACACAGTTGTTATTGAAATCTATTTCAGAAAAGTTGCGATTGAAATCTATTGCAGAAAAGTTGCGATTTATCGCAATTTTGTATAAGACGGGGCCCAGAATTGGTATACACTGGTAGCCTGTGGGAGGTTTTTGAATGATCAGAATAACAAGGAAATTATTCGATTTTGCTAAAATCGCTTGAACTGCACACTGAAATGGGTATTTAGGACTGCAAAATGCATATAGCATGAATGAAAGGTTAGGTCCAAACTTTTGAATAGGTGTTGCGTTAGTTTTGAAGACGGGGAGGGCATCTTAACCGGATGTTGTTTTTCCTATTAAAGTGATATAGAAGAAATGAGAAAGTTCACAAATTATTGTCACCTTTTCAGAACTCAATTTTCCCTTAAATGCTATTGTGAAGGAGAAGACTATAGTGCCCTAGTTACATCGACCCAAAATCGACCGATGACTTTGTTTTGTTTTGTTTTCATAAGTTTTTATTCTCTTCTCTCATAAAGAAAATTGTACATAATTTATCACATTGTATACAAAATAAGAAAATAATCTTCATATAGGGTTAAATAAATTTGCAAGTGAACTTTTACACTTCCATATAAGGTTACGAATAAAGTTACACATTTACAGATGAAAAATATTCACATAAACAAAATTATATTTTCACATTTTAAACAAATCGCAAATAAAGTGATAAAAATATTAAAAAGGCACTTTGGCTATTCGGAGTAATCTGAATCTTAATTCCGTCTGTTTGTTTTATATATTTAGTCGGTGTGTCTGGAAAGGAGCTGAAGGAGGGTGAAAAGAAATCTTTGGATGAGTTAAGAATGTCAATGTTATTGCGCTATAATTGGCACATTTCTTTTTGTATGACTTGACGGTTCTAGAGACTCACACTATCAAACATGTTTATTTATACCTGCTCCGATCTTTGTTATTTTTACTAATGTATATTTTGTATTAATGTGTTCATTTGATTTATATGTTTATTTATTACATTGTTATTCACGTATTTATTTAACCATTTTATTGGTGTTGTTTTGTTTAATTTTGTTTTCCCTTAATTGTTGCTTTTTGTTTGTTTATGATTACTTGCCCTTGCCGTGTTTGTTTGTCAACCGTGTTTGTCTGGGTTCGGGCATGAATTCGTTATAGTAGACTGTGTAATTGCAATGGCTTTTTGATAGTTGATTCCATTATCAGGCATTGTACTCAGCAAATTGGTGGTAAAATGAATACTTGTCTAGTCGAACTTCGTTGCACGCTGACAATTCTTCCAATATTAATGAATAGTATTCCCACATTATCCATCTCATGATTATTCCTTATGATATACCACATCGGAATGGATGTCGTCCACGTCTCTTTTGAATTGGTTCCATTAATGTCACATATCAAGGGCACTTCCCTCATCCATGTCTGGGTCATTACTTGATTAATTGTGGGCTCGCCTACCGTTGATTAATTTAGTGGAATTGGAGATGTGACGTCACAATCACTTCATCAGGAAAAGGTCAGAGGGTAACTGGAGCTAAATGCTTAATGATAATTAACAAATCCCATTAGCACATGTTGGCATGCATCCTTCAGAAGAGTTTTATTAGGAGCTAAATGAATACCATATGATATATATAGCACCGCCCCCCCCCTCAAATCATTGCAAAATAAAGTGAAATATTGCAGTTACACACACTAGTTATAGATTCAACGTTTTGATATATGCAAATGCCAAAAATATGAATGAAAAGTGTATACCACATTCTCCGGAACACATACACACGTTAATGGTGTGAATCGAAGACCAATATTATCCTGTCATGTATCTATACGTTACTACATACTCGAGGACACTTTGTAGGATTGTAACACACTGAGGATAATCCTAAAACTTAATGCACAACCGAGGACATAAATACACACAACCACTGACATACACCCACACGCACGCATCCATTAAGCTGTAAGTGTTAATGTACGTGACCAAATTATACGACATAGAGCAAAAAAAAAATGTCATATCCATTCATGAGAAAATGATACCGCGTTTCCGGATAAAGTATCTTCGACAAGATCGAATCGTCTGTCTCCTCAGGTTATTTTTGCCATTATGAGCCACTGACTGACAAAGTGATAGCCAGCTCGTACCCATGCCGAGTCAGCTGAACTTCTCCAGAGCTTTCTGCTCTCATATTGAATGTACATGTAGTACTAATTTCGGATAAAGTAGACAAAGCACGCCAGGAACTTAAAAGAAGCAATTTCGTGCCTTTCTGTCGGGTTGCGATATTATAGGATTCCTTTGAGATGTCTACGTCTGGTTTTGATTTTTTTTCGTAGCGTGCGATACGAATAAAGTCAACTTTAAAGATAAACTTGAGTTCTTGTTATAACAAAAAAGAATTCTCACATCTCAAACGAAACTTACACTGAATGTTCAAGATTTTGGTAGAAAATATATACTGGCTGATTAATGAGCATAGAAAGATAAGGAAATCAAGGTAAGTAACCCCGACACCATTTGTGTAGTCCCATATACATCTTTCTATGTATAGAGCTTGTAAATTTACCAATACCGGGCCACATTTCTTATCATTTTGATGATTCCAGAACCTTGCAGTACACACCAAATACTTATATGCTATTCGGGCACTAGAGACTGGATGACATTTGACCCGCCAGTGTACTGGTGTACTGGCAAATGCGTCAATTACCTATATGGGTGGACATTGAAAAGATGCCCGTGTGCAAAAGAGATACAGACATGGATAGATGGGATATGAACTTACGAGGAACGTTTAGCTGTGCCACCGTTACAGGTATCCCTGATGTTAGACTCAGCATCAGCTCCATCATTCGCCCCGTTAGAGTTGAGATATCCGTTGTTTTCCAGGAGATATATATTGTTGTTAGCCAGTATTTGGCAGGCCATCTCCTGGGCAGCTATAAAAATGGGGGGGGGGGGGGGGGGGGAGTGACAAAAATTGAATTATTTACGACTAACTCAATAAATTATTGTCATTAGTTAAATTTATATTTTTGAACTGGTGATTGATCTATTTCATTTCATTTAAATGTTTGTCCTGATAAATATCCGGGTCGCGCACCTGGGCCCCGTCTTATCGAGTAGCGATTGTTTGCAGTCTCGTATCTTTTATGTACCTAGCTGCGATTGATGTCAATCGCAAATAAGTTGCGATTAATATCACCTCTTTATAAGACGGGGCCCTGAGACACCAAACTGTTGTATAAATATTTACATGGAACGTATTACAAGATTACGTTGTTATTTAAAAATACACGTTGATTGTTTGTAATATTATAGCACTTGATGAATGACGTAATACATCATGCTAATTTGATTTGATATGATTATGATTCATTCATTTATCGTCTTCAACGTTTACACAAATACAAATATTTCAGAAATTCATTCTATGATAACAATACACCTTCAACGGGGGGGGGGGGGTCTGGAGGGTTATTTTACGTTCATCTCTTGTCTATCTTAGAAATTCTCTGAGGGTTTAACCTCCGCCCCACCCCCGTCTCATACGCCTAGATGATCAACCTGCTCTCACTGATCGATTCCACATCGTTTCTTTCACAATGCAATCGCATGACCAGTACTCAACTTTATCTTTAAGCTTCCCTTCTTTTAATTTCATACATTATCTTTCTATTTTTTTCCTTTAGAATTTCAGGGATATTTTTAGTTTATGTAAGATAAATTGATTAAAGTACTCAATCGGACAAATAGAAAAAAATGATTTGTTTACCACTATTTCAAAACTGATGAAAATTTTAAACCTTGAAAGCAAGGTCGTGGTTTCAGAAAATAATTGAAACCGCCGACGTTCTTATGAACTTATGTGTCAGGCACAATAACAGCTGCGATGTTCGTGTATGTTCCCCCATTCAGTAGCTACTAAAAGATGTTGTGACGTCATCAAACGGAAGATAGCAATGCGCTAAACTAGGGCGCCATTTTGCCGGTCCTTCAGCGTGTAACAGTTGCGATCCAAAGGTCAACTTAGGGCATGTCCTCGGTAATTAGACTAATGATGACAGCCTACCCCCGTTGAGAAGCAGCTAACCATTGGATTACACTTTGCTCGTCTGCACATGTCTTTTCGAAATGTATGGTTTGGCTATGCATACATTTTGCTCCCTTTTCTCTACGTTGCGTAATGGTTGTTACGATTTATTTGAAAATTAAATCAGGACGAACGTGTTTACAGTATCATTATGTATACCCATACAATTTAGAGAAACGGCTTCATTTTGTTTCTACTTTTGCTAAGGGGTTATTGATCCAAGGGGAAATCATCTTATCTAAAGCAAATGGATAAAGTAACATGATACAAGATGTTGATGAAGAGATAGGGACATTGTGTGAGTAATTAAGTACATGCGAGAGAGAGAAAACAAAATGAAATGCTGATTTATAGAGACAAATTACAAAATTTGTGCGTTTACAGAGGGAGAGAGAGAAAGATATTGGTGTGCATATACACAGACAGACGAACAGACTGAGAACAGAGGTGATTAGGGAGAGCCTGCTCAGCCTGGGGGAATTTAGGTAGAAAGAATAATAGATCGTCAAAAAGGAAATAACGAGATAAATGGAAAGGATGGTATGGGAATTTGAAGAGTGTGACAAATACGAATGAAAAATAGAGAGGGAGCGAGACGTTTTAAAAGAGCGAAATGGAGACAGTGTTGAAAAACAAGGCAAAGCGGTTAATACTATATGAGATATTTATAGAAGGACACAGATAAACATGGTAACTATAATGAGAGAGAGAGAAATGTGAGAGACGGAAATCGAGGCCAGAAAGAAGGACGGGGTCGCCTTATCTTTTTAATAGACAATAGATTTAGACATTGTATCTATACACAAAGAGAGAATGCAACCATCGGAATAGATCTAATCGAGAGATGTACCACTAATGTAATTAATCTAAAAGGTTACAGCTCACTTGTTATGATATTTATAGTACGGAGTAACAGAGTGAAGACTGGGATTGGTTTAAACTTGAAAGTCTAATTTCTCTTGTTGTATAAATCTGCCATGTCAGGAGTACATTATGAACATTAGTCTAACCGACAACTTACTGTTGGTAATCCAAATTGTTAAACTTTTTAAGTTGGCTCAACTGCTGTGATCATGTGATAAAGCCCTCATGGTAGCAATACTCCCTTGGGAATTGAGATGGTGTACATTATGCGTGAATGAATCTAAGGACCGGTGAATAAATATTTGTAAAATGCTAAGAGTCGGTATTTCGTATTAAGCGCTATATAAATCCAGGTGTGTAGTAATATGATTATAAAATGAAAAAGCGATATAATCATATTGATATTTCTTGTTATCAATGACTGCAAAATGCTGAATTCCATTTTGTATTTTAATCGCAAAAAAGGGTAGGAGACGACAAACTCTTGTTAAAAACCTCCTACATTCTCCGATTTAAGTCAATCTTTAGGAGATTCAATTTTTTTTTAAATCGTGATAATGAAATAGATTTATTTTCTTAAAATGGCGACACGTGTCTATTGCGTAGTATGATACTAATTATCCCCACAGCGACAAGCCTCTGTTTAAGTCCTTAGAGAAATACTAAGGAGGAGAGCAATACAAATTCCAATGAATTTTAGAATTTATCGAGAGATCGGTTACTTAAAATTACCCGTTACAATATTGCCCGCACCACCTTAAATATTGATTTGGTAAGGGCTTCCGAAACGCCGTCCGCTGGGATATTATCAAAAACCCGTCGCTAATATTGACCTGGCGAATGACAATTTTTTCAGTAGTCTGAGTATAGATCGATATGATAGAGAAGGATCTTGATGAGTTCGGCTGGGATTGCTAGAGTGCCGAGGGATCCTTTTCCGTGTTTGGATATCGGCAGCGTACTGTGAAATTAGTTTCAAATCAATCAGTGTTGTTTGCAGGGAGAGGTTTTCGGTCCGCTTCCATTTTTGATGCGCGCAGTTTTTGAACCAAGTTGATAGTGTTTGTGCACTGTAAATATAAAATAATTGATAAACTGCACGTCTACAGCGAGGACTAAGTAGGTCCAAGAGTGATTTTCCGCTTTCGGCAAAATTTGTCCAATAGCGCGAAAGCGGTATTTGTAACTTACAGTGTACTACTACGTGTTTGGAAAAATGTATGGCGGTCTTCTTGTGTAGTTATACAAGTTTTGCGAGGCGTTGAAACTGGGTACAAGGTGTCGCCGAATATAAATATTTAGTGGGAAAAACTTAAGGACTTCAAATGATCTTGCTTAGTGACCCCACTTTTAGTGAGATCGTGCTTATTGACTGTCTCATCTTTATTCAAGATATGACATACTTTGTTTGCAAAGGGGCAAAGAAGGTTTTACAGTCATGCCAGAGTAAATATGGATAAAGACCCACGCTTTAAAAAAGGAAATTGGTTTTCCTGGCAATCTCACACTTTAACCTCTTAAACCAATATATTTATTTACAAAATTTTAGTTGCGCATAGTCAATACACACGGAGAGCATGCCTATTATATTCGATGAGTAGAAGCCAAGAAGGTACTTGTATTGCGTTCTTGATCTCTCTAAAAAGAAATGAAACTCATCCTCTATTTATTCAAAGCATGACATCTGTCGTCTGGTGACATTTGATTTCATCAGGTTTAAGATACCTCTTGATCTGTTTACGGACTCTGTGACAATCTATAATTCAAATACAAAGAATACTTGCATTATGAACAGTCAGCCGGGTCGTTCATCGTGTGTTGCATTTTGATGGGGTAGACGTGCATTATAATTTACTCAGGAGCTTATTACGTTATGATATAGGGTAAGGGTTTCAATTCGGCATATAGTTAGTTTCAGGAGTACAGTTAGTTTTAGAATTACAATTAGATTTACGGTTAGAGTTACGTGTAGGGTTCGGTGTATGGTTAGCACGATTGGGGTTAGATGTCATGTTTGGTCCCAGTATTTAGGGTAAAGTTGGTATATAAAATGATACCACCAGAGAGTATATACTTCTGATAGGGTCCCCTCTCCGTTCTGATTCACTCCATGTTCAAGTCTGTGGTATCCAAGTACGTCGAAGATCACTGGTCTGATGTCAACATCGAGATGGTAGCGAATCAAAATTTCCGAATCCTGCCTAGTTGGGGTGTTGGTCACTGATCAAACGCTTTAGAAAGACAGAAACGAATCAAATTAGACATACCCATCATTTCCATCCGGGCTATTTGGTCACTGGTCAAGAAAAACGCAGATACAGTGGCAAATCAACTTCCCGATCACTGTCATTCACGCCAAACATAACGAAAATACCCTTTCGGCGTGCAGCACTTCACTAACTTCATTGCCCCACTTTTGGACGGGCAGTGTGACCGAATTACTGCCTAATATAATGATTCGCAAACAGGCTACCAATCGGGAGGTATCGGTCTGGTAATCAGGGCCTAAACAAAAATCGAAAACAGCTTAAAGGTGTATTGATTTAGCGCCAAAAGAGCTTCATTGAATATCGCCATCACGACCATTGAATTATGCGCACGACGGCGGAGTAGCGGGGTGTATCGAATGAAGCGTCCTTTAAGGCATTTAAAATTGCATTATCCAAGCCATCTCCCTAGCGAGAAAACCCAAATGACTGTTATTTCTTTCTATTGCGTTTTTGACTGCGCTAATCATGCCTACAAATGAAAATTAGCACAGCCAACAGTGATTCAATGTAATGTGTGTTGCATTCATCCTTAATTTGTATATATTGACATGAGCGCTATACAAGAACCCACTATTTTATTATTATTCATTATTATTTTAACAAGGTGCGTCAAAGACCATACCATTCATTGACGCAACCATACGTCAGCGAAATGACGCTTCGACCACAAGGGGCCTCCTTACAACATACTTGTTTAAAAAGCATTCTTGACTGAGGTAGCAGTCGTGCATGTACAGCACATATTTTCCCCTACTTTATCTTTCGTCCTAAGCGCATAGAGACGCTACCGTAACGGCAGTTATAAGCGCTCTAAAAGCAATGTAGTGTACATGTAGTATAGGGGGCCTTATATCATAGTGTCACTGAAAAGTCAAACAAGAGGTATGGGTTACATGTAGGAGATGTCGATTTCAAGACTTGTTCTTTTTTCACAGTCGCAGTAACTTCTTAGGAAATTCACTTCTATTACTTTTAAAATCATTACGTAGTTATTACAGTGACGGATAATCGCAATTACTCGGTCAGTCATTTCGTCAAATTAACGTCAGACCGACTTAAACGTGACTGACTTGTTTAGCTTGTTGAGGTAAAGTACATCTTTGTTCGATCTGTCGTCAGTCTGGTTCCAGTTTTGTCGGTGTGGTTCGGGCATAGGATGGCTCGCCATTGTTTCGTTTACTAAGTGGAAGTCCCCCGTTACAAAAATAACGATGTCCTGAAAGGTTTACATCAATTAATGCATCAAGTTCTCCCTCATTCCTATCCGAGACTTTAAACAAACTTGTGATACCATCGAAGGACAATCGATTACCCCTCGGTGCAAAGTAAAC